GGCTTTTTGATATAAGCTCCAGTGTGGTTTTCCAGGTAAATATCCATTTCCTAGCCTTTCTTTTCCTACCCCACTCTAAAAAGAAAATGTGAAATCCTCTATTTAAAATAATAAATATTACCATATAGTTTCTGAATGCCTTTAATATCATCCTGGGAAAGTTTAAAATTTTGTGGATCTCCATTTCCATAGGTTGGATACATCACCGCATTGGGATCAGAGGAATGTCCCATACCCAGAGAATGGCCAAGTTCATGAGTTGCAGCATACAGGAAGTTAATTCCTACAACCAAAGAAGTGACAAACCATAATGATAGAAATAACTGCATACATTATGTAATATTATATATAATATATGACAGCACAATTAAAAAAAAACTAAAGAAAAATACCTAATTCTTTTTTTTGAGACGGAGTTTCGCTCTTGTTACCCAGGCTGGAGTGCAATGGCGCGATCTCGGCTCACCGCAACCTCCGCCTCCTAGGTTCAGGCAATTCTCCTGCCTCAGCCTCCTGAGTAGCTGGGATTACAGGCACGCGCCACCATGCCCAGCTAATTTTTTTGCATTTTTAGTAGAGACGGGGTTTCACCATGTTGACCAGGATGGTCTCGATCTGTTGACCTCGTGATCCACCCGTCTCGGCCTCCCAAAGTGCTGGGATTACAGGCTTGAGCCACCGCGCCTGGCCTGAAAAATACCTAATTCTTAGCCCTCGGTAGCTTACTTATTTCTAGATTTTCAAAAGTGTAGAGGGGTTAGAAGGATAATCTGAATAGCAGTGGTTTAATCTCATCACCACTTCTCCTTCTTAAAAATGTGTCATGTTTTTCTGTTTGCTTCTCTCACTGAGGCAGCAGTACTCTGTAGAGGAAAGCAAAGGTTTTAAAGCACTAAGACCTAGGTTTGAAATGTAGCTCCACTCCTTACTACCTGGACAACTCTGGACAAATTAATCGATGTTACTGAGTCTCAGTTTCTCACCTGTTAAACAGAGACAATAATTCCTGCCCTATAGATTTGTCATGATAACTAGAGTTTCTCAGTATTTGGGAGTCATGACCATTAATAAATGTTAGTGACTCTGGATATCAGAAGAGAGAGAGTTGGCTTTGAGAAAGCCAGGATTGAAAGGTGTATGATCTCCAGGCAATGCTGGGCTTTGTTTCTGATTTTGATTCATTAGCTTGTATTACAATATCCTTTGCTCTCCCTCAGACTTATGGAAAGGCTTTGCAAGCATGTGGAAAGTGTGAGCCTGTGAATTTGAGGAGTGGCCAGGGCTCTTGTGGTGTTGCATTGGACTGAAGGAAGCTGCCTTTAACCTTCCTTGAGTGGGAGGAAAGAAGAATGAAAGGATATGCCAGATGTGAACGGGAGGCAGCATCGCAATTTTATATAGATTTTCACAGCAAGGCAGCAAACTATGGTGAATTCTCTTTGCCAAACACAAGTACAAATTTCCTTTTATGGCCAGATGATAGCCCAGAGCTCTTCTCCGTTAGTTCTCTGATGTGCCTATAAAATTCTACTATGTAAAATGATAAATACGATAGACTAAGTCATGGAGTTACTTCTTTTTGGGAAATAGTGAGTGATTCCAGAATTGCATATACTTCTTAAATATCATAGTTTCTGCTTCTCTTTCTTTTCCATTTGGGGCATGTATTTTTTGGAAATACGAAGAAGGAGCTATAATTTATTGAATTATTCATACATTTCAAGTACTGTATGAACATTATTTCATTTAATTTAAATAACCCATGATGTGGGAACTATTTTTATATTCCCATTACACAGAGGAGGAAACCAAGGCTCAGAGAAGTTCAATAACTTGCCCAATGACACAGAGTAATTGGTAGATGCACAGCAAATTGGACCAATGCTGTTGGACTCCATAGCCTGAGCATCCACCTTCTGTTGTGTAGCATTATGAGTACATCACATGAAATAATGCATTTCATAGTTCAGTGTTTGGCACTTAGCAAGGGATCAGTACTTATTAAAAATTAAAATAATTATTAAAGTTAGTGTAAGTCCAGGATTTTAAAAAGGATGTGGAGTAGAAGAGACATGGGATGCTGTACCTAGACTGCTGCCATCTGTCCAGCGTTCATCTTCATCAAAATGAGCATCTCCTCCGAGACCTGGCCCAGGTGCAAAGGCATGAGCCAGCGTGTTTCCCGGCCCATCAAATGGGTAGGGATCCCCATGAGCTGAAAGAAAAGGAGGGATTGTTCTAAGTGACTGACTTTTTTTCTTCTCTAGTCATTTTATCTTTTCAGTTTACATGATTGTTGAGACTAGAAAAAGCAGCCCAGTACAGGCCAGGCATGGTGGCTCATGCCTATAATCTCAGCACTTTAGGAGGCCGAGGCAGATAGATCACCTGAGGTCAGGAGTTCCAGACCAGTCTGGCCAATATGGCGAAACCCCATCTCTACTAAAAATACAAACATTAGCTGGACGTGGTAGCACAAGCCTGTTATCCCAGCTACTTGGGAGGCTGAGGCTGGAGAATTGCTTGAACTCGGGAGTTGAAAGTTGCAGTGAGCTGAGATTGCGCCGCTGCACTCCAGCCTCGGTGACAAGAGCAAAACTCCATCTCAGAAAAAACAAACAAACAAACAAACAAAACAACCAACCAAAAAACAGCACAGTCCAAGTAGCTGGCGTTCTTGTTAGACACTGTCAGTTGCATTCACAGGGTAGTTCGGGTGCTTTTCTGGCCCAGACACTTTTCCCTTCACAGAACCACTGCTCGTCACTGATAATCACCATATATATTGAAAGCTTTCTAGATACAGGATTTAAAACGCAGTTATATCTAACTCACGGTTGCATTTAAACTTTTGTTAAATTTGACCACTTTGCTTGGCCAAAGGGTGGTGGGAGGTAGAATGAATGTGAATACCGCATTTGGCAAGTAATTTGTGCAGCATTTTGTATTTTTTTTTTCTTAAAAACCTAGCTTATTCTTTGTAGGCACAGTCTCTTAGAGAACCATGCTCAAGATCTCTTAAAATAGCTTTTGATAGTCTTTGTATTTGTGATGCAGAGTTATCTTCAAGGTGTCATGAGGGCAGTCCAGTTTATCTTGCTCTTAAAAAACCTGTAGTGCTGTGATTAGTGCTTTCCCGTAAGATTTGCTTCAGTGTTGTCAATATTGTGGGGTGAAGTTCAGATTTCAACTACAGTAGCCAGGCAGTTGCACATAGAACAGACCAAAATGGGTAACATTTTTCTCTAAATTTGCACCACGAAATACTAGCAATTAAGAACAGTTGGGCTGGGCCTGGTGGCTCATGCCTGTAATCCAAGCACTTTGGAGGCGAAGGTGGGTGTATCACCTGAGGTCGGGAGTTCAAGACCAGCCTGACCAAAATGGTGAAACCCTGTCTTCAAAAAAAATTAAAAAAAAAAAAGAACAGTTTATGTATATGGGTTTTATATATAGAAAAACAAACATGCAAATATGTATATATATATATATATATATATATATATACACACACACACAGACATACACACAGTGTATATATACTGTGTGTGTATATATACACATATTTGTATATGTACAGTGGTGTGATCTTGGCTCACTGCTATCTCCGCCTCATGGGTTCAAATGATTCTCCTGCTTCAGCTTTCCAAGTAGCTGGTATCGCAGGCATGCATCACCATGCCCAGCTATTTTTTGTTTTAGTAGAGACAGTGTTTCACCATGTTGGCCAGGCTGGTCTCAAACTCCTTACTGCAGATGATCCACCTGCCTCGGCCTCCCAAAGTGCTGGGATTACAGGCGTGAGCCACCACACCCTGCTGGGTTATATATTTTCAAGATTTTTAATATGAAAATTTCCATTTCCTACTTCCTTGTCACATGAAAGGCATTAGCAACAGCTCATAGGACTATACCACTTCTCAGGGGCCTCATGAGGCCTTCGGAAGCTGTAACTGATTTAATGCTGATGTTAGCGAGATATATTGTAAACATAGAGTTGTGTGCTGCGTAATGATCTTTCAGTCAGCAGACCACATATACAACAATTTTCCCATAAGATTATAATGGAGCTGAAAAATGCTTACCACCTAGTGATGTAGTGGCTGTGGTAATGTCATAGTGCAGTGCGTTACCTTTTCAATGTTTAAGTATGTTTAGACACACAAATACTTGTGTATTTGTATTACGTAACTTGTGTCATTGTGTTATGTAACATGCTGTATAGATTTATGGCCTAGGAGCAATAGGCTACACTATATGGCCTAGGTGGATAGAAGGCTGTATCACCTGGGTTTGTGTAAGTGTACTCTATGGCGTTAGCACAATGACGAGATTGCCGAAGGTCTCATTTCTCAGAATGCATTCCCATTGTTAAGCAATGCATGACTGCATATATATAAATAATAATTCACGTTACAAAACAGGGGTCGGCAAACTTTTTCTATGAAGGATCAGATAACAAGTGTTTAAGCTTTGTGAACGTGCTGGTCTCTGTCACAATTGCAGCCTGACCACAATCAGTCATAGATGACAGGGAGATGAAGAACAGCTGGATTAGGCTCATGGGTTGCAGTTTGCCAACTGCTGCTATTAATGGTGGCTCTACATTATCAGATTATACAAATTGTGATAATATTGCTAAATCTATTATCTATCTCTCTATCTCTCTATCTGTCATCTCTCATTAAAGGTTTTTTTTTTTTTTTTTTTATACGGAGTTTCATTCTTGTTACCCAGGCTGGAGTGCAATGGCGCGATCTCGGCTCACCGCAACCTCCGCCTCCTGGGTTCAAGCAATTCTCCTGCCTCAGCATCCCGAGTAGCTGGGATTACAGGCATGCGCCACCATGCCCAGCTAATTTTTTGTATTTTTAGTAGAGACGGGGTTTCACCATGTTGACCAGGATGGTCTCGATCTCTTGACCTCGTGATCCACCCGCCTCGGCCTCCCAAAGTGCTGGGATTACAGGCTTGAGCCACCGCGCCCGGCCTCATTAAAGGTTTTTAATTCTCTTAAGAAAAGAGCACGGATGTAAACAATGAACCAACAACAGGACACAGGATTAGCCTACAGGAATCTTTCTTACCTCCTCTGGCAAAGCCAATCATGATGTCAGCAGTTCCCCATGGAAGTTTCCTGAAACGCAAGGGGATCTCTTTGCCCCACATGTTTAAAGCCTTTGACACTAATCGTTCCACTGTAATACGTGGTAAGTCTCGAGTATATGACATGATCCTAGTAGCAAACAAGAAAACAGTATTTGACCTCTTGGGAAACAGGCTTTCTTGTTTTTCCAAAATGAGCTAGGGCAAAACCAACCTGTAGGTGACTACTTTGGAAGTCCATTTTGCGTGATCTGGAAATAGTGAGTATTCTGCAACATCTGGCACTCCACATCTGGGCTTCTTCATTATTTCTATGATGCGGGAGCTTAACGTTCCAGTTACAGGCAGGCCAAAGAATTTTTGCATCTCCTTGAGTTTGGCTTCTAAACTGTTGACTTTATTTGTTTTTGAGTCATAGAGATAAAATTTCTTGAGATAGTCCTATTAAAAAGAGAGCAGTTAATATATAGTTCTTGTTTATTATCTTCTTTTATCTTAGAAGTCTATACATCTCTTGCCTTAGGTTCCTGTGGATTCAAATAATGATTTGAAGACAGAATAATTACACTGTCACTGAGTAAAATAAGTGTGCATTAGTGAGGAGAAAATTTAATATTACTAATGAAGGCCTGGCATGCCATTTTGTGAGCAAAAGAAAAGAATCCCTTAATTTTTGAAAATCCCATTAAATGTTTTGGGGAGAAACACACCATACCCTTTATAAAGCCTAGATGTTTGTGAGAGCAATCAGGTGGCATGTACCAGTGTGTCCTCAGGGGTATGACTGAGAACTTTCCTCAGTGTTATCATAGACCCTGTCGGGGAGATCTGAGGTCAACCAGCCCTATCCAAGGCTCAGCTGAGATATGGTTCCAGCTAAAAGTTAAAGGGTCTTAAAATTTTAGTTCTGGGAAAAGATATTAGTAAATTATTAAATAGTTCAATTTAATAATCTGGTGAAGGAACCAAAGCTCACAGCAACTAAATGATGTATGTGCCCAGGCTCACACATTACATTTGTGGCAGAACTGGACCTGACTTTCCTGACTCCGAGGCCTTCTTTTCCCTCTTTCTGCTCATTCCATTCCCAGTCCCTCTTTCTGCTGTTGTATCTCTCGTCAAACCCACTTTGGGTGATTGCAGGATACAGTAGTTCTCCCAGGTCTATTCCATGTAAGGTGGGGTTCTTGGGAATTTCTTAAAGGTTCTCAGTATTTGGATGTGAGGGTGGGAAACCAGCAGCACAAATACAACAAAAACAACACTGAATGAGCTAACAATAGTAGCAACCTCACAGGAACATTTTTAAGCACTTACTCGTGCCAGGTACTTACATATTTATTTTTTTAAACCTCATAACCACCCCATGAAACAGGTATGGCATTGTTATCCTATTTTATATATGAAGAAACACAGCTCAGACAAGTGAAATAAATTGTATAAGAACACCTTGTGAGTAACTGAAAGAGCCAGTATTTGAACTCAAGTGTTCTGAATTCTGTACACTAGAAATATGTGTAGGGTTGTATGATGCATGGTAGTATTGTTGTTAAAATGATTTAACATTGGCTCACTAATTTGCAGTTTATTTGGAGTAGATGGTAATGGTGACCTGTCTTAGGACCTCTCAGGAATATGCAATTAATGTAGGAAATCTTGTTAATATTGTATCATCTTCTCCTGTTACCAACAATTGTGTTTCATTAAATACAACAGATACTTACTGTTCATCCATGACAATTGATAACTGATCTTTGTTAGGGAAAAAAACCCATTTAAATCCCTTATACCCTCTGGAAGAAATCTTTCTGTATTGTTGAGTTGACTTCGCCTCCTCTTTGTTAAACCTAGCTAATTTCCCTCCAAGTAAAGAAAGTTTTTGCCAACTTGCACTCTAGGTAAGAAACTAAATGTGTGTACTTAAAGCAAATTAAGGCAAACTTAGAAAAGAAAGAAGAAGAAGAAGAAAAAAAAGAAACTAAATGCAAAGTACTCTTTCTGGAGAATTCATTAGGTGGAACCATATAAAATTATTGTTTTGGACATTTTAAAAGTTAAATATTAGTAATTTCATATAATTTCAGTCTATCTTATTACTGGAACTCTTTAATGTGAATTAAAACTTTACTTTTCTTATGTTTAAAGCCTAAATTTACAAATAATACTTATGAGTAAACATCTCATTAGTTGACCATATAATAATTAGTAGACTGCTAATATTTATTAAACTGCTTATTAAAAAGCATATTGGAGGGCCAGGTGCGGTGGCTCTCTCCTGTAATCCCAGCACTTTGGGAGGCCAAGGTGGGCAGATCATGAGGTCAAGAGATCAAGACCATCCTGGCCAATATAGTGAAACCCCATCTCTACTAAAATACAAAAATTAGCTGGCCATGGTGGTGTGTGCCTATAGTCCCAGCTACTCAGGAGGTTGAGGCAGGAGGGTTGCTTGAAGCTGGGAGTGGGGAGGTTGCAGTGAGCCGAGATCGCCTGGTGAAAGAGTGAGACTCTGTCTCAAAAAAAAAAAAAAAAAATGCGTTTTGAAAAAAACATGATTTTTGAACCAGAAGCACTTGTCCTTGATTACTATCCCTACAACTAATAAGTATGCAAATCAACTTTGGCTTCTTCTTTTTATAGAACTAAGGATTAAATGACACAATATATATGTAAGTACTTTATAATCTACAATTGTTACATACATGCTAATTGTTTTGTTATCACCTCATTTACTTTTAGAATACCCCGTGAGGTATAAAACACATTGTATTATTATTATTTCTGCTGGACACATGAGAAAACAAAGTCAGAAGTTAATGCCTTGTCTATCATCATTGGCTTGTGAGAGAATTGTAATTTCTACCCACATTTTCTGACTTCAGATATCTCAGTTACAAACAGTAATGGAGATATTTACAAGTTGTATCTTAAGAGGCAACATTCTGTATACTATAGAAAAATAATCTCAAGTTATAATAATAAGAACTTAATTTAAACAATGTTTCAGGTAGTATTGTGTTGAATGCTTTCCGACACCCTCATTTGGTTGATACTATTCTTATCTCCAATTTCCAAATTGGAAACCTGAACTTAGGGGAAGTTTGATGACCTTCCAGAGTCTATCTACGTAGTGAATGGGGGTTGGAACTCAAGCTGGATTTTAGCAGATTCTGAAACCTGCTCTTGATGGCTACTCGATGAAAACATTATTGCTTTTATAATCAGAAAAGCTTCCCCAAAGAAAATTCCACTGTAATACTAACATGGGAGGGGAAATAATTGAAAAACACATTTCTTCATGCAGATGGCAAAAGAATGGAACCCCAGGTAAGTGGGCTGTGACATACCTGAGCCTGTTCCCACTGTAGCTCACTCATGCCTCCCGCCTCTTGAGGCAGCGGCAGGGCCAGGCTGCCAGGCAGCAGGTACACAGCGCACAGCACGGTGAGTCGCATAGCTGCCATCCAGAGACAGTTGTTCTTGGACCTATGGTTGATTTGATGTTTTCTGCTACAGGCTGCAGAAATTTATATAGCTTCTCAGCCCCGAATGTGGAAACGGGTGACTCATTTGAGTGTTTTCTTTCTTTTTAGAGTCGACAGAACTTTGAAAGTATGTTATTTTTCATTAACTAAAACGAGGAAGTATTATATCCTTATTGGCAGGAAGTACACAATGTATTTGTCTTTCAAAGGACTTTTTTTTTCTGTCTGCTGCATGAATTGAATCCATGAGAAAACTCATTTGTTTGCCAAAGTCAAATGACTACTCACATAGGTCTTCTCAATTTAAAATATGGGTGAGCATCATTCAGGACATTATCATACCATATATTTTTAAAGGACTTTTTAAAATCGAAAGGTATGGAAAAGTGCACAAAACATATAAATAATGAAATAATTAAGGAAATACTGTATTTGCTTAATTAACAGTGTTTGGTGACTATAACAGTTACCAAAGTCAAGAAATAAAACATCGCCAACATCCCGTCATTCTTTATAGAGGGGAAAGATGGCAGGAGGCAGGTGGAAATGCCGCTGTGTGGCTGGATTAGTGGCCACCATAGAACTGTGCTATGTCCCCTCACCTCCCAGGTCCCTTAGCAGAGTAGTGATAATTCTATTCTTTGGGTCTCCTTTTAATCAGTGTATGTCTTTTCTTAATGGTGAACACTGCTTCTAATTCTTCTTGAATTAAACATGAAAAAATACCAGCAAACAAATATCTACAAGCATGAACTTAACTGTTCAACTGGCTTACTTATTCTGCTTCTCATTTATAGTAACAGATTCTTCCAAAGCTAGACCTTCAACTTGAAAATCATTGTATACAATTTTTTTTTCTTCCAATCACTCTGACTCTGGCTGCTACCCAGCTACAGGTAGGGCTGCATTGGTCCTTAATACATGAAATCGTTGTTTTACATATAGCAGTAAGGACCCACTACCTACAGATTCTAGCGCAATGACTCCATTCTTACCAAAGATTAAACTGAGGCCAAGATGACAATTTAAATTATTATACTTCTTCCAGCTCACACAGAAAAAGCTCAGTGCTTTTTTTTTTAATCCCACTGCACTGCCTATTCATTTTTGTAATAGGTCTGTCTCCTTTGTTATGTTACACATTTCTTGGTGAGCACCATGGCTTTGACTCTGATACGTCATGGGAAACACTCCAAATATACTGAAGCTAAAAAATTTAATTAGTCACGTGTCACTTAAATTACCTGGCAATTGATCACTGTGAGCCAGCAAGGTAAAATTTTCAGATCAGTTAATTAAATTTGCTCTCTTTACAGAGATACCTGGATTCTGTATGGTCACAGTTTAACTAGAGTAATTGGTATCCGTAGTCAGAGTTTGACATATGATAGGGTGCACAATAAATATTTGTAGAATAATGAATATGAACTTTACTTGAATCAGCTAAAAATAAAATATCAGGTTTTTTTAGTAATATTTACACTGAATTAAAATCAAAAGGCATTTCCTCAAGTGAATGAGCATACAAGCCACAAATTGGGTGAAAATAAATGCAAAGACACATTCATGGCCAGGTGCTGTGGCTCATGACTGTAATCCTAGTGCTTTGGGAAGCCAAGACCAGCAGATTGCCTGAGCTCAGGAGTTATGAGACCATCTGGGAAACATGACAAACTCTGTCTCTAATAAAAATACAAAAATTAGCCAGGCATGATGGTACACACCTGTAGGCTTAGCTACTCAGGAGGCTGAGGCATGAAAACTGCTTGAACCTAGAGGTAGAGGTTCCAGTGAACTGAGATCACTCCACTGTACTCCAACCTGGGTCTCTCTCACTCTCAAAAAAAAAAAAAAAAGACACATCCAATAAAGGACTACTATCCAAAAAATATAAGTAACTTTTAAAACTCAACAA